GAGAGGGCTCGGGTGACCTTATCACTCTCTATAGCTACCTGAAGGGAGGCTGTAGTGAGCTTGGGGTTGGCCTTTTCTACTGTGTAAATAGTGGCAGGATAAGAGGGAATGGCCTCAAGTTGCACCAAGGGAGATTCAGGCTGGGTATTAGGAAATACTACTTTTCTGAAGGAGTGGTCAGGTACTGGAATGGACTGCCCAGGGAGGTGGTGGAGTCACTCAGCCTGGAGGTGTTCAAGGAATGTTCAGACATTGCGTAAGGATGTGGATTAGTGAACTATTGGTGATTGGTGGATGTTGCACTGGATGATCTTGTAGGTCTTTACTAACCTTGGTGATTCCATGACTCCAGCAATTTCCTGTGCCCACGTTTCTCAAGGGACAGGGCAGCTGTATGTCTAAAAGGAAGAAATGCTTCATGTAGAGATTTTGTTACTGCAGTCAAGTTGTTATATCACCTATCTAGAGCATAAATAGTCTTTTCGTTGTATCAGCATAGCCTGTTGGTCTTTGGCCACGTACAGTAATGTTGCCAAGGGGAACCATAGGCATGTGCTGTATAGGCATCTTACAAGAAGTCTTTTCTCCTGCTGCTTGCAAAATGAAACTGCTCCAAGATAAAAAATTCTCCATCATCTTGCCCCTTTCTAGTACTAGAACTGATGTTTTTAATTTCTTGGTCAATCCAGACCTAAACTTTAAGGGAGCTGTTGTTCAGTATTTAACCTGACATCTTTGTTGTAGTGGTATCTGCGGAAATTTCAATATCAAGTTGTAGGGGAACAATTTTATCCATGTTTTTTATATCTCTTCTGATAATAGCTGACTATTTAAACTTCCAAACGCAGTCTTTTATATTAGTAAGTGTAGATCATGTTTCTCATTCATAGCTAAACTTAATTTCTGTGAAGTCAGGAATAATGACAAGAACATGCCTCCAATTTGTTTTATGCTTCAGCAACTGGAAAATAGTATTAACCAGATTAGTAGGTGTTACTAAAGTATATAAAATTATTTTAAATCACAATCTTAATCACTGAACAGATGTTACAGCTGATTGTAATTGGCAGAAGGTGCTGAGATATGTTGTACTGGCAGATCAGCATTATTTCTTGTTTGATTAATAAAAATGTCTTTAATATAGTATGGGCACAGAAACATGAATCCCACGAGAAACTGTCAACAGAAACTTACGTGATTTTTCTGCCTGCTAATGCCATTCTTCATGAGGTGCATCAGGTACTACTACAATTGTTCCTGTTTCCAGAGATGTATTTCCATGTGAATAAGCAGCTTGATCCTGAGCTTTACTGTGCTCCCAGGATGCATTTATTACTACTAGAATCTATTCTGATCTCTGACTGGTACAAAAGTAATTCCAATTCCATGCATATTATTTTTATAAGAAACTTCTCTCTCCACCATTATTCAAGAGTTGAAAATGACACGGAAAATACATTTCTTTATGTATTTATGTGATGCCATCTAAGATAATACTGCTGTTCCATGTGCTATGTATGTAAAGAAAAACACAGAAAGCTGGGTTTACATTTTGATGCACGTAGAGTTAAGACATTAATGAAAGGGTCTGAAGAAACTAGAAGCTGATTAAAAAGGCAGTAATTTTAAGCTATTTTCTATAGATGCACCTCAGGCAGAACTTGACACCTAGACAAAATCAATGCAACAGGATTGGTGTGCAAGCAAATGCGAGGCAGATCAATCAGGAATGCTGAAATTCTAAACAATGACCTGGTGGGAAGAAGGAATTGATTCTCAGCTGGTTGCGTTTTTTCTTCAGACTGAGACAAGGTGAGAATGCAGAGAACTTGAGCCTTCAGTACTTGAGCATCCTATGGCTGAACAGGTTCATGCGTGGCGAACAGGTTCTGGCACGACTGCCAATCTCAGCCTACAAAATTAAACCCTGTTAAGACTTTAGTGGTTAAGAAGGTAACAGAACAAAAAGAATTGCATACAGGTACGTTTATTCCTTCCTCCTCAATTCCAAATGCAGATTGGCAAAAATAAATTCAAAACAAGTATTTCATCTTCATTTGTATTTGCCAGAAGTACTGGCAGGAGCATTTTAATTTTAATACTTCTTCCCAAGAGCTCACAGAATGTCAGTCCATTGGTTTGGAAAAAGTGTCTCATGTAGTGCCAGAAACTTGGTTATTTGACCTGTGGCCAGAAAGAGATTGTTAAATCTGTTGACATTGGACGGAAATGGAAGAGTAGTCCTTACTTCCTAGTTTATTCCCATGGGTTCTGGGGGGGTGGTTGTTCGTTCTTTTCCCAAATTTAGTAGTTAAACTTGCTGGTGTTATTTGAAATTCAGCATCTTCATTTCAAAGTAAAAAGCCAGAGCTGAAATGAGCAATAATTAAATGGCAAGTTCTTGCATTGGTTTTTGGAGTAGTGTGGAAGAGAAGGGGCTTAGGATATATATTTACTAACGTATGACTTTTTTTAATACTCCAAACCTTTTTTCACCATCCATCCTCTGTTTCCATGAGAATGTTTCAGGCCAGTAACAGCTGAAATTCATTTTAAGCTTCCGTTTGTCTTTCTGTGTTGGATGCATTGAGGTCGAATTCCTTGGTTATAAGCTGCTTTATTTAAATCTACATGACATAATGATTTGTCTTAAAATTTCCACTGTGGTGATTAAAAGAAAAATAAAATTGCTTATACATTTAAGATAAATCAGCTGTAATTTCCTATTTGATGAATTTACTTTGGAAATACTGTCATTTAAGTTGCAAGAATTACTTGCAATTTTGTTTTTTATTTTACACACATCAGTGTTCATCCTAAGAATGTTATTATCTCAAGTATTCCTGTCAAGACAGACTGGTATAAATGAATATCTCATCCTTTTAGAGGACCTTATTTTTCACTTTTTCACTTTTCGTTTTAATGGTATTTTTTTCTCCAGAGGGGAAAGTCATTTTCCATGTAATTCTGTGGACATGCCAGCAGGAGGAGCTTGAGTATTAAAATGTTCATTCAGAAAAGTCCATCACCAATTTGAAGAAATTGCACGTAACACTGTGCTTTCTTCTGCAATACAAACTGCCATACAGCCATGAAGTAGCTTCTGTTGACCTGACAAAGCTAACGCACTATTGGCAGCGTCCTGTTGGTAAATTAACCTAATTTAGTTTGAGAAAAGCCCGACCAGGCAAAAAAAATTATTCAGTTATAGCAGCTCTTAAATATCAAGGATACATCTACATGTTACAAAATGCGTATGTTAAAAAAAACCCAACCCTCTGAAACTACTCCGTGCTGTACTACGAACACTAGAGAATAAACAGTGCATGGCAGTAGTTTTATAAACAATATAAAAGCACTGAATTATAATATTCGTGTACTAAAAGAATGTTAATGAGCACAGCTGAAATTGAATTCACATGATCAGAGTTCTCTGTAGCAAATTAGAAAGTGGTGTTGAGTTTCAAAATACTGTATCACAGGACCGTGGGGTTGGAAGTCCTATTATCCTTGGCAACCAAAAATTGGTAACATATGCTAAATTTTTAGAGATTTGATTTTTTTGAAAAGAAAATATAGAATTAAAGATCTAGATTGTTAGCCTTGTTATTAAAGGAGGATATGTGCCACAGTTACTTCATGCGTTTTTTTATGTAAATGAATTCCTGGTTGCCTAGGAAGACTCTGTTTCATGAACATAGTGAATTTTAATTCAGAAAAATCATCTACCTTGCTATTTTAACTATTACTTTAGGCTATTCTACAAGGAAAGTTAGAGAAGTGAAATACACTACTATTACAAATCCTTCTTTTTTTCCTGTTAATGTTATCATCTAAATTGGACAATTTTTTTTCCGTACTGGATTACATTGTTATTACTGAAGTAAATAACATTGAATGTGTGCATTGTAGTTCCAAAGCTAATTGCTACCACTGATACAGCTACTCTTATCTCAAGGAAGTATTCTGCCTCTTGCAAGTGGATTTTCCGCTTGACCCTGGGCCTTGTTAATGTCTTTTGCCTTGCCACGATCTCTCCCACGAGGGTGTACAGAGTGCTTGAGTGGAGTCTGCGCGTGCCTATGGCTTTTTCAGGGTTGTCTGAACTGTGAGGACAGTCACTGCAGGAAAAGGGAACACAGGGTAATCTTTTTTTAAAAGATCTGTATTTATTTACAATGGCAAGAACTGCAGAAGATTAGTTCCTCCCTTTTGGACTTACTAACTCAATCTGAGAATAAGTAACTTTTAATTTTAAAAAATTATGAAAATAAACTTGACTTTGTATGCTGTGTAATTTTACAGCCTAGATGAGTTACAAAATGCAAAATTTATGTATTAGTCTGTATGTAAGCAGCGTAATTAAAAACCATCTGAAGTCTTCTAAGAGAATGGCAAAAGTACAATGCTATCCCTTTGTACTGTAGTTTTCCGAGGAGCGTATAGCCTCTGAATATCACCTAGGTAAGCTTGAATTTTATGTTACTGTTTGTTCTTGAGCTTAATGTACTTCTCAGAGTCTTTTTCAAAAAGGCTCATTCATGTAAGGCTGTAGTCTGTTGTGGGTCAGAAGAGATGCAGGAGTTCCCAACAGGGGATGTATTGCTAATGTTCTTCATCGCATAATGATACATCCATCCACAATTAGAGGATTGTTAAGTAGAGTATCATCCAAGCTTATGTCTATTGTGCTTGTACTTCTATCACTTCAAAATGCTTATTCCACCGTTTCCGAACTGCAGCTCAATGCTTTATCTTGTAATTTGCAACCTTCCATAAAGAATTGGAAGTTCTACTAGTTCTCATTACTGAAAGAGCCCATTTGTAAATTGAAGTTGAGATACCTGTAGAAAGAATTTAGTTCTGTGTAGCTGAAGATGTGTGCTGTACTTCTCAGTGATGTGCCAGGCAGTCATAACATCTGCTTTTTTCATGTTCAAAATGATGACAGAATAATTTGCGTATAATTTATTAAAAAACTGCCCTTATTTTCTTCCTAGTGATGTTCCACCTTCTGGAGAAGCAGTGAGCAAAAGCAGTTGCTTGAGAGTGACTACACGCTTCCCAAAACTGTCTCGCAGCCATCAAAGAGAGCCACGAAGTCTGGAACCTCAAAGCGGTGATCTTTGACCCTTTTTCTAATTCTGAATATTGACACTATGTACTTTAAGTTGCTCTGTGATTCCTTCCTAGCTTGTATTTATAATTTAAGCTCCTGAAGAGACTACAGGCTACATCAACTTAAATCCTGAAAAAGACATTCATTACTAAGGGTTGTATCTTGACGAAGTTCTTTAGAAGTCAGTAATCACTTTCTCAGAATGAGGGCTCTTCACCAGGGCTCACCACACTTGTAAGCATTTCCTTTGTTTTGTGAAGCTTCAATGCACATATTCTCCTTTGTTCTATTCAAGCAAATTCCTTCTTTGTGTTGTTGTGTCTTCCTTTGCACATGTTCATTTTTCTGGTTCAGACATGAGTATTATATCACGACAATTTTCCTTGAAAGAACAGCTATGTTTATCACTACTTACTATGTCAGTAAAATGTACTTTAAATGACCTCACTAATTTATAACCTCTTGTAAATAGAAAGACTGGGAAGACTGTTGTGTTTTTGGTTTTGTTTTTTTTTTTTTTTTGTAAATTATTATTGGGTTTTTTAAAAACTTGACAAAGATGACAAGGGAAAAGTGGTACAGGCGGAAAAACAGCTTTTCTATGTTTCTAGCTTGATATTTTCAATAGATTTCATTTGTGGCAAGTAATTCTTTAAAATCAAGTATCATAATTTTTTTTTAGTGAAATTTCAGTCTTGATTTAAGGCTGGGTGCAATATTATTAATTCCTGCAAACCACCACAAAATCAGCATGGTACAAAATGGTGTTTTCAAGTCTTGGGTTATACTTTGTTATTAGCTTGTCACTGTTGCTACAGGGCAGTCCCTCATATTAACTGTGAGTTTGGAATTAATACTCTTCATTCGTAGAACACTTCACGTGGTGATAATTAAGAATTACCTGTAATGAAAGTGCCTGTTATGCCTGTTACCAATCATCTGACACTGAACAGTATTTTGCTATGGTAATACTGTAAGTGTAACTAAAAAAAAAGCAAGAATTATTACAAGTGATGGAAGTTCAAACAAGGATTAACTGGAATCCAGTTCAGTATCATTAGTTGCTCTGCTGTAGGCAGTCAATTGTGTGTTAAGTATTTTCTTCATTAGGTTTAAGCAGTGTACATCCAGATTTTCTGTCAGTTGTATTCTGGTTTTCCTTTGTGTAAGAACATCCTTATTCTCTGAAGTTTTGTTTTTTAATAATGTTAATTTAAATTTGTGTATTTTGTCATTTTAGTATCTATTAATTTTATTCTCACATCAGTAGATACTGAAATCTAATGTTATCCTGCATGAAAAAAAGTCATGTTGATGATTAATAACAGACTCTTTGCATCAGTGCTTTAAGAACAGCAAGTAGTGTCTGTGCGCTGGATCAAAATACAAAATCTGAAAGTGCAGCTTGGAAAATAGCCTTTTTTTTTTTTTTTTAAACTAAAAGATGAATTGCTGTTGGTGTCTTGTCTAACTGAAATATTTATTGAAGAAGGAAGAAAAGCCAGTAGCAAGTCAGCCAAAACCTCTCCAAACTCTTCAGTATGATGCAATGCTGGCAGAGTAAGCTTTGCCTTCATTGGAAGGAAAAGCAGCTGTAATGGTGGTCCCACTCTGAAACAAATCTGAATTCACTTTTCTGAAAACAGAGACTTGGTTAGCACAAATATGACACACATCCACATTAACAATGAATTGCAAGCAAATCTGAAAGAAAGCATGTTTTTAAATCCTGTGTAATTACCTGTTTGTCGTTTGAAGCTGTTTTTGTTTTCAGGAAATAATTCACAAATTAAAGGACTTCTTGTTCCAAAAGTTGCAAATAGTAAGAAAACTCGTTTTGCACAATCCAAATTTAATTTTTTTTCTAGTTGCTAAGGAGGAATTTTTTTCTTGGATCTACATTTGACTCTTAAAACTAGTTCATTTCTTTTTTAGTTCTATGAATTTTTAATGTATGTAGATTACACAAAGATTCTGAACTTGTTTACTGTGTACAGTTTGTTCTTTATTAACTTCACCTGAATTATCTGCTGCTAAGATTACAGCCTGCAAATAGTGTTTGTGATATAAGGTAGTGTAGTGGGTGCATTACGAATCCATTTAAATACTCACCTGTGGCTTATCTGATCTCAAGATAATTGAATTAAGCCTTTCTTCACAAATCAGATTTCCCACCTCACTTGGATACTTCAGGAAGGCAGTACTTGCATGACTGTGAAAAGATGCCTGGGAACATGAATGCTCAAATTTTTATCACCTCAGAACGTTCTAAGATGCTGTCTTTTATAAAATTACAACTCTCTGTCACAAATCCCATTTTTTTGCTTATTCATCAAAATCAGGAATGACAGTTAACGAAGGATGACTTGCTGGCATTAAGGATTCCAATATATTGTTCATGTAAAATAGCTGCAACTGCAGCGAAGATTCTATCAGCTGGGTGATTGTACCAGTTTCTCTTGTGTCACCTAATTCCATGCGTGTAATTGTCATTTCTGTAGCATATAGTTATTGTTTTTTACAAGTCTCATATATTTTTATAATAGCTGAGCGCTCTTAAGTCCTTAGTTCTAGCCTGTGGCTGCTGCACAGTGAGTTGATGGGTTCAGCCGGGTCTTTCTGCCTGCTCTGAACGTCTCTGTCAACACACAATGCAGGACCCAGGCCAGTCTGATCCCAGCGCTTGTTCCTTCAAGCTTTAGCCTACAGTGTGGCATTTAGAAATTTGAAGTATCACTTTCATTTTGTTCTCATTTTATCTTTAGATGTATTCAGTTAGTAGGGCTGCTCATCTGCAACCTTTAGAGTCTATTCAAAATAAAATGGCATTACTTTTTATTGCTGCTTTCCTGTCGCACACAAAAGGAACAGTTTTCTAAGAAAATCAGGGTAGACAAGACTTGGATCTTTAGCAAATGCAATCATCTATCAGTATTAATCTAAATATTGACCATTTTTTTTCAGAATTTCATTTATTTAGAGATTGTGTCACTCTATAGAGAGAATGCAGTATACTGACCTTGCTTTTTCCATTAAATCAAGTTTTTCAATAATAAAAATAAATTCCAAGGTTTAAATGAGGCAACATATTGGTGTAGTTATAAAGTATTACATTGATACATTCATTAAGTCACATTGTTAAAAAATTAATAATCTCAAAGCCAGTTACTTTTTGTTGAAATATATTGTTGATGTGGTAGTTGAAATCAAATTGTATCGTCTTATAGAATGTGCTTGAAGTTTTAAGCCATCGTGACTGAATCAATACAAGTACTTAAAGGACAAAATGGTATTAAAGACCATTGGCTCAAAATTGTGACCTAATTGTGCTAAGGTGTATTTTTGTTAGAAAATGTCTTGTTCTATTTTATAAAACGGTGTGTATATTGGTGTGTCTACATCAGCATGGTAGCTGTTAAATTAATTCATTAGAACCTGCTAGCAAATGGAGTTGAGTGACTCAGAGCAGCAAGCTAATAATAAGCAAGACTCAGTGAGCTCCAAGTGAACTAATGATACTGTTCATCAGGACGTATTTATGATTTAAGAAGATGGTGTTTTGTTAACAGAATCAGTTATTAATATTTTCAGATACGGATGTCATTCTCTTTGTTTCAAAGTGGACAAAAATCACAGTTCTGCTGTAAGTTTCATGCCATTTCAAAGGTACAACCATCACACTCCACAACATCTGTGATGTCAAAACGTTTTTCATCCAGTATCTAGTAATTCTGAGGGCAGATAATCTATACCTGTGGATAGAAATACAGTTATCTGCTTATAATTCCCAAGAGAAATCTGTGGAGCAGTTGCTTAATAAGAATAGAAACTCAAGAAATAAAGGTTTTGTTCTCCTTTTCTGTATGTTGGGGTATTTCAGTCAATGTGTTGTATTACTACCTTGAATATTATTTTGATGGAATATTTAGCCCTTTTACTAGTTTCTTAGTATTATGTACTGAAAGAATCATTTTAATGTATGAAATTACGTATACAAATTATACAAATATCAGCTAACTTGTTTTCTATTTCACATATTGAATGGAAGATGAAAAACTTGCTCTAACGTTGTACATTTATTTCTTGCAGATATCTTACTCTGTATTAACTGTACTTTTATTGTCCAATTATAGATAACATCAGTTGTTTATAAAATCTCTTTTCAAAAGTAAGAAGATACTTCTAATTAATGATAATGGCAAGCTTTTGCTTAATAATTGCATGAATTTATACTAGAAAACACCACTCAATTGTTTAGAGAGGAATGAATTTTCCAAATTTACAAATTGCTGCAAATATCAGGACTTTAAAATATGTATATGTATATCTTTGCTCCATCTAAACAAATATATTGCACTGCCGTGTAGGAGGAATCAGTTTACTTAAGATTTTGAAGCTGATGTCTGTTGTCATTACAGAAGTTACTGTAGCAATTGTTCTCTTCAGCAGTGTCAACAATTTAGGACACTAAAAATTACAGGAATGCAAATTTGATTGAACGTATAAATTCTGAAAGGCTGCATTTTCATTTTTCCTGAAAACTGAGATAAATATCTGGTGTATGGGGACCAAACAGCAGGAAAGTGAAGAAGCTTGACTTCCCTTCTGATTTGGAGGAGAGATCTTAGTGTTCCTGTTGAACTGTAAAAAGGATTGTATTAATTCTAAAGCATATATGTGTACAGCACTCACCTAAGTATTAATAAACTGTAATACTATTTTAACTTGTTATGCTAATGTTTACATTAGAGATTTTTAAGAAAATGTCTATATATATATATATAGTTTTCTAAGTATTTTCTTGCATTTTTTAATATTCTGTGGTAATTTTGTTGTAATTTGGTTGAAATATACTACTTTATCAAGATGAAAATAAAAAATGTCTTTCACATTTGAAGCACAGCATGCTTACATCTTATTTGGCCTTTTCAGCTGTTCTATAAACGCTTCTGTGATCTGTTCATTTTTTCCTCAGAGTTTCTAGAATTATATACTTAGACATCAAACTTTCTGTTGAATTTGTTGAAGCCTTATGTCACCTTATTAGAAGGAGCATTTACTGGCAGAGCAGGGGTTGCCTGTAGATGTCCCTGTTAATTGCAGGGGAGTTGGACTAGATGACCTTTAACTGTCTCTTCTAACTCACATTATTCTGATTCTATTCCCCTGCTCTTTATTTTATTGAGAAATGATGCATTTGGCAATTCACAATGTCAGATGCTTCCATGTCACTTGAAGGCAAGCTGCTGGATTTGGCTGCTTCCTATTCCTGTAGAGGATAGTTTTAAAGTTGTGGTGTATATTTAATCAATTTCCACCTAACAAACAAAGCTGTAATTTAAAAAAACAACAAAACAACATAGTCTTAGTTAATTCTTGTATTCACAAGACAGTTTGCTGATTAATTCAATTAAATTTCAAGACACAATTGCTCCATGGAAATCTAATTAGTTGCACTAAAAAAAAAAAAAGACAAAACACCAAAGTGATGTTTTGACATCCAAATCTTTTTAAAATCTCTGGTAGGGTGTCTTAGTAAGAGCCAGATAAAAAGTGCTTCAGCTGACTGTCACTACTACATTATTTTAAAAAATAATTCTTCGTTCATTTTATTCCCAGTGCTGTTTTGCACACATTCAGTACGCAGTAAATGTTTTTCTCAATGTCTGAGTTCCAGGTCATCAACTCTGCGTAAGATCAGCTTCATAATAATTCCAACTTGCATGTACCAGAGCTGTCACATCCGAGGCCTTTTATGGGGAATTATCATTACGGTAAGATTTCAATGTCATGTCATAGAGCTTTTTGTAAGAAAATTTTAATGGTTGGGATAACACAGAAAGAAAGAGTTAGCCATGGTAATACTAATCTGTATATGTGTGTGCATATATACACACATATAAAATCTGCCTTTGTATTTTTCCAAGAGCTAGTTCATCCATGAATTAAGTCTGTGGTGTGTGTGTGAAGTTCAGTGACAGTTTTAACGTTTCAATTTCTAGTAGGAAACTAATTTATGAATATGAAGGTTCCCAATTTCATGTGTTATGTAAGTTAAGAGTTGGTAACACCTCATATTTTCATCAGAAATATGAATCTTGTCACCACTGATGTACTTAAGCAAGTCTGTTTCTTGACTGTTGTGGTTTTATCATTTTTGATATCGACCTTCCACATCATCACATCATTTAGTGCGCTGGGAGTCCTAGAAGAAATGTAGTGCAGCTCCCGGAAAACTTTGCTCTTCTGTTTCTGTTTTTCTTTTTGCTCCCTGATGGATCAGAGTAAGAACTTCCAGAAGTTTTCAGAAATTCTCTCATTTTTATTTCACTTATTAGCTCCAAGCCTAATTAATTTGTGTTTCTGCTGTTACAATTGGTAAATTAATGTTCCTCCATCTATTTGTTGCTGCTGTTTTATTTTTTTCCTTTCCCTCTTCCCCTTTTTGGGCCAGTGAGCCTGCTGTTCCACTGTCACGGACACAGATAGGTGTAGAGATAACTGTGACACAAAAACATCTGTGTGTTCTTTGTACCATACTCTTTAAACTGCTTAACTATTTGAAGGAGTGTTTTTCAGATGTGAGCATTAGATACACGTTCATACTGTGCAGCATACATTTTTAGCTATTCACTTGGATTTATCTTGAAGCAGCTCAAATTCTCCAGTAGGCTTTTGACAAAATGCAGTTTTGTGCATCCAGTGGTACATGTAGCTTCAAGCAGTTGATAAGATGCAGTCGTGCTTTAATTTCAAACTATATATTGGACATGATTTTTTAAGAGTTAAAAAGAAAAGTATGAATTGGCAAATGATGCATCAGTACCTCTCCAGTAATTTTACTATATCAGAAACCACAATAATTGCATTTCAGAAAAAAAGGAAAACAAAAGAAAGCACACTTACTGATGCGACAAGGAGCAAAAGAAAAAGGAGTCGGGAATTCAGAGTAGGAATATATTAAAAAAAAACCAACAGTACTACAATACTACATCAAACTGCCACCCTGTGTTCCATGATGAGATGCAACAAAGTAAATAATGCATCTTTTAGGCATTCTGTCAAGCCATAGGGCCCTCTGGATATGTCAGTAATTAACAAATAACAGCTGTTGCCAGCTGCTGTACTTAATCAGCATGGGCAAAGTTTTCCTCTCTGCATGACAGAAGCAGAATATGACACTCTGCTTTTCCGTAGTAATTGAAAACTTGTTTGACCACATCACTTCATGCAAAACCCCTGCTGATAAGTAATTAAGGGAAAATATGGACAAGCAGAAACAGCAAAATATAACTGGATTGGCAGTACAGACAGTTTTCACTTATTTTCAGTCAGACATTTTTCCTGACACCTTAATGCTCTAATGTACATACAGGTGCCACTGTCACTGTAGGTGAGCAGTCACTTCAGCTATGCAGAGAGACTAATGATTAGCCAGTATGTCATTTAAAGGTACAGAACGTATAATGTGCACAGTTTGTAGAAAACAGGAAAGCAAAAAATACGTTAACTCATATTTTAGTGCGAAGTTTATGTCAACATAGTACCTGGCTTGGAAGACAAACTCCAGTACAATTCACCTTGATTACCACTGGTAGTAGGAGGTACCTTGAAAAAGGGTAATTTAAGACCCTGAATATGTTTTTGACACAATCAAGCCTCAGAGCTTCTCTCAGTTGCATTAGTGGAAGACGTCAGAAATGGATCTATTTATCCACCCTGTTTCTGAATCCATTCTGCCCTGAGAAAACCACAAAGACACCTTTGCTTCATATTCACTTCCGTGCCAGGCGCCATTCTGTCAGACTGCCCCTCTACTGCGATCTGTCGCACAGCAACAAAAGGCAATGAAATGTTGGTGGGAGGATTTAGCCTATCAGTAGCTGCTTCTGATGTCATGGACCAATGTAATAAATTATGAAGCTTTACTTTTGAAGCAGCCCTTGAATGTTGCTTCTCTGTACCTTTCTGTTCAGTTAAGAAACACAATCGGGTATCTCACTTGAACCATGATCAAGGGTAAGCTTGCTGAGAATTTTCCCTTCAAGCCTGTCTTTACCCATAGCCATCTATGACATCATTTGACCAACAGAGACTCCTTCAGTCTCAGACAAACACGCTGTAAATATCATTCTCTCCTGTTGCTTGTTAGCTCATGAGGGAGCTGCATCTAGACTTCTGCTGCCTTGGCAGTAAGAAGGGTGCTGAAGAGCTGCAATTGTCACTGGAGCCCTGCAGAGATGCTTTTTTGGTTGCTAAATAGGGAGCACATAAAATCTGGAAAATATTGACTGATCTGACAACGTAATTCTATTTAAGAAACAGAAAATGTGCTAGATAATATATGCAGACATCTCTGTCAAGAAGCCTTATGTGGTTTCACGCTCAGTTGTGTGACCACCTTTGGTTACCATAGCAATTCTCTCTTAATTAGAAACTCACCCTCTGCTCGTGGTCTGTTCTTGCTAAAGCATGGAATTCTGCTGCACATATACAGTTTTCATTTATTTATATATTGACTTTGCCAAATCAAGTACTCTGTTTATTTGTCTCAAACACTGATCTCAATTTAAAGTCCTTCAGTATGTCCTTGACCCACTTTTGGTCTGTGTGTAATGAAGTGGTGTTGGAGGCATTAATAACTGAAACATCTGTGTGATCAGTAAGGAGGCAGTTGTCTCACACCCATCTGTGAAAGTATTCTGCTCATCTGTGGTCTTAGGTTAATTCTCTGTGAAATCTTCAGTTTGCATTCAGCTGTGACTTGACTTTAAAATGGTTTCAAAAGAAAGACATCTGCAAGTATTATATAATTTATGATGTGCCTTCTTGAAGAACTGCTGCATGTATTAAGGCCTGCTTCTGAAGCTGAACAACACTTGCTGATGTGAAGTAGAGAATATTTGCTTTCTCCCATCACTTCTGCATGCTTTTACTTATTTTACTTTTAATTGTATTTCTCTTTATCTTAAAGTACGAGATAAAAGCCTTTATTCACCGTATTTTCTCCACTTCTTCTTATTTAGGTGGGGAATTAAGTGAGCATCATGGCATAACTTGGCTGTCTATCAAAGTGAGACCACCACAGGGAGATGAGAACAAGTTCCCTGTAAAGCTTAAGTCAATTCTGATAGTTGGGCATGAGATCAGCACTTGGGATACAAACTTCAGACAAAAGTTCATGGTGCTAGGCACATTCTTGTCATTTTAGGGAGACAGACTGACAGTTCTTGAGACCAGATCAAGAACTGTGGAACAGCAGATCTCTGCAGTTTAAGTGTAGAACTCAAAATACAAATACCTCTTTATATCACAAAACAAAATTCCCAAATGACATGCAAGAACACAGATAATTTATTTTGAGAGAACAGGACCAGAAAAGGACACAGTTCAGAAATTTAATCAGAGAACACTGATAAGGCCAATGTAAGAACATGCTTAAAAGAATAGAATAGAAAAGTAAAGAAGAAAACAATGGATTCTTGAATTACAAGGTCGAGAGAAATTGGTTTTTAACTTTTGATCTGCTTTTTCCAATTACTTTAAATATTCAGGGAATCCAGTTCTTTAACCTGGAGATCCTGGGCTGTAAGAAGTTCAGGATTGCCCTTTGGAACCTTAACATAAGTATGAGATGACTGAGAGGAAAAATACAAAATTTTCAGCTGAAAACGAAAGATTACCACATCTGCTAACTTCCCTTCAGAGCACGAGGTGACAGAGGCCAGCTTTAGTGTTTATGTAATCTCATCAGTTAGGTTTGAGGACAATGCAACGTGGAGCACTTACCAATTACTATGTGCTACAAAGCTCATGCAAATGCTAATACTAATATCTATAATGCTAATAACAGTAGCAAGAGCAATTGTATCTCTTATCATGCAGTATATTACACTTTGTCTCTAGATTCTATCCAATATCCTTTCCCTGTGCCATCCAAAAATCCCTCAACTTTTTAATTTAATGCTTCTCCCTACAGAGATCTGGTACTGAAACTCAGATACAGGATTTTGAGCTGAAATGTAATTGGTACTTTGTTTGATACATGACTGCCATAACAGAAATGCTGTTTATAACATAATCTGTTTGAAAACATTCCTTAAACAGTTAATAAATTGCTCTTATGAAGGACAAATGAATAGAGCAACAGGCACATACCTTTACTTATGATTACTATCATACTACAGTCAATAACAGTTGTTCTCAAGTCAGGTTATTACCTGGAGAAAAACAGCCTATTTTAACCTAATGTCACATATGCAGTCAAAAGCTTAGCTGCACACTAAAGAGAGCAGTTACCTTGTACACAGGTAAGTTTTCTAACATTCCCAATATAAAATAAATGACATGTTATATTG